TGTTGGTATCTGCTGGTTAGCACAAGCCCCTGCTGTTTGGACCTGCTGGATTTCAACCTTGCTGAATTCCAACCCTCCGGGACGTTTTTCCAGAAATTCAAACCTCCTCTGCTCACTTCACTGGGGGGCATCTCCCTTTCTCCAAGCTGCAGTGCTTCGTAAACTCCTGGTCACCTTGCATAAAACATCGGTCACCTGGGGTGGGAGGAATCGTTGGAGGAGTCCCTTAACCAGTGTCCTCTAGACGCAGCGAACAAACATCTGGGACTGCGAAGCACTGTGGGGGGGAGCAAGGCGAGGAACTGTGTCTTCCCCAAAACTCCTCCACAAAGCTGCTGTGGTTGTTGTTAATTTATTTTGTAAGAGACAGAAGTCTCCCTGCCTGCCAGATTTGCTATTCTGGCTCCTAAGAAGTTGCTTATTTTTATTTAAGGTCTGTCAGAGAACATCCCTTCCCACCTTCAACCAGATGAGAACTGTGGGCTGAAATCCTTGCTCTGAGGAGGAGGAGGAGGAGCAGGAGGAGGAAGGAGGAGGAGGAGGAGGAGGTGAAGGTGAAGGAGGAGCAGGAGCAGGAGCAGGAGCAGGAGCAAGAGATTGTGTGTGTGTGTGTGTGTGCGCGCGTTAGCATCTGCAGAAATGGGGTGAAAACCTTCCCCAAAGCAGCCAGGCCAACCTTTTCTGTACTATTTCCATGAGAGGGGGGAAAAACCGAAACATCAAAATAAAAGGGTCTGCAGAGTTTATGGGAGGACCCCCAACATCCAACGTATCTTAAGGCTCAGAATCCACTCATTTCTGATACATACATACATACATGTCCGTCCGTCCGTCCTCCTCCTCCTCCTCTATCTCTCTCTCGCTTCATTTGATCTCAACCGTTCCTTTCAAACGACACAGCCTCCCCCTTTATTTTTGTTTTTATCTGAGCTTGCACAAGAAAGCAAATATTATTCCCTGCTATCAAAAAAAAATCACAAAGGGAAGGGAAAAGAACATTTGCACGGTAGCTTAGTGACACAGACGCCCTAAATGGGACTCGCTGGCTGGGTCTATCCCATCCTCCACCTCCTTGAACTGAATAAACTGGGCCTCCTGTTCTTGAAATGCGAGACCTTGAAGGAAAAAGAATGAGTTCGTGCTCCAGGGAGACCAGACTCCCGGCTCCTACGCACACCTTGCACTTTCACCGACCTTTGCTCTCCATCCTTCACGCGGTTAATCCTCCTTATGCAAACCAATGCTGAGCTTTTTTGCCCCCCGCGCCCCAACAGCGCCGGTGGCAACTTGCCAAGGCTGTTTCGAAGAGGACACGCCGTTCGGTGAAAGGTGTCATGCTGTACTT